CACATCTGAAGAGAAGATCGACGATTGCGGCTTGGCAAAAAAATGACAGCGTTTCTGCCTGAGGCATACGCACTCCAGAACTTCCCGTCCATCGATCGCACCTTTCCACAACCTCCCCCCCCCCACTAAGCTATTCACCTCCCCACCTCTTTCCCATCCTTACTAATTAAGAGGATGGCTTTCTTTGGATTTGACACAACCCTGCCTAGGGGGCGTGATAGTACGGGAGCCAAAGGGTTCTTCGAGAACCCAGATCCCTTTGCCGATATTGCTCGAGCTAATGCGCTTGGAGATGACGACGTGTGAGCTTGTCTTTCTAAATGGCTTGGAATGGGCCATTGTACTCATCATCTTTTAGGATTGATTTCGAGGATACATACGATGGTCTCGGAGACCAGCTTTCCGATGACCAGGACGAGTTCAACGATGACACGTTTGGCGGCGTCGGCCCCGATACATCTGTTGGTAGAGACTTTGATTTCTTTGGAAAAACTGCTCAGGTTTCCGACGCTATTGGCGAGGAGCAAGTTCGGTTTAGTCTACAAAATCCCAATGCAGGTCGAGTCGCTCCCCAACCCACCCAAGTTCCTGTTCAGCCGGCCGCCACCCAGCAGACCACCAAGCGCTCGGGCTATGAGAAGTACTCGGATCCCGGTTATATTCCAGATTTGCAAGCCAAATCTAGTGTCTGGGGTGTTTCGCAGAAGAAAGCCGAACCTGCTGCCGCTCTTGCCCCGAGCCGGAAGATGATGAGCTTGGAAGAGGTCGAAGCACAGATGCGTTTTCACGGCCATACTACCGCAACACCAGCAGCGGAAGCCTTTCTGCGATCGATGGTGGAGCAGCCTCAGTATCCACCTCAGCTCCAGCACCTCCAGACGCTTCCTGATGGGTTCCCTCCGGTGCCCCCAGAGTTCATCCAAGCACAGATGAAACAGGGTCACCTACCCCCGCAAATACCGCACCCCCCGCCTGGTATGCCAGACCTCTACGGTGGTCCTGGGCATATGCAACTTGGCGGACCGTTGCATATGATGCAGAACCCCAACCTACCCCCACAAAATATGCCACTTCCTGGCTCGCGCCATAGCGGTTTACCCCAGGCCCAGCGCCCTCAGCAATCCCAGCAGCCTCAGCAACTTCCTCAACATCAGCCTAGCCGGGCCTCCAACAATGGAATGCCGGTGATCACTAATCCGCAGCAACTCATGCATCTCACAGAAGAGCAGCGTAACGCTTATTTGGTGGAGGATGCTAAGCGGGCGAAGCGCAACCACAAGATTTTCCTCCTGTCCCGAGGAAATGGTCTGATGACCCCGCAGGACAAGAATTTCATCACCCGTATTCAGTTGCAACAACTGGTTGCGGCTGCAGGAAATGTCGCAGATTCGGATCCCGAGGCCGTGCTGGCGGAGGACTTCTACTACCAGGTCTACAGCCAGATCCGTGGCGCACCGCGCCAACACCCCCACCAACCCCTAGGTCACTTCGCGCAGACTTATCTGCTCCAGACCGGTAACCGGCTCGGCGGGCATCGTCGGGGCAATTTCCAGAGTGCCGACAACCACATGCAGCGAATGCAGCAGCAGGTCCAGCGTGCTGTAGAGGCGGCCAAGGCCAAGCCCAAGAATAAGCAGCTCATCATTGAGGGCAGCTTGGGCAAGATCTCCTTTAGCAATGCCAAGGCCCCTAAGCCGATGCTGAATATTAAACGCCCTGATAGCTCAGAGGGACCTAAGCCCAAGAAGCAGTCGGATCTCAGCCTCAGTGACCGCAAGTCGATCCTTACAAATCTCGAAGGTGTTTACAGTGCGTTGATGGCAATGGAAGACATGGAGCGCACGATGCCGCCACCCCCCGAGGAAGGTGACGCCGAGGCAATCCAAGAACATATGGAATGGAGACAGAAGCTTCACTCTCTCAACCAAAAGTTGTGGCGGTCATTGAAGGTGATGGAACCTATTGTGCCCAACTCGACGATACCACACCCTTTTATCGCATTCTTGTCATACCCTAAGGGCAAGAAGGCCATTCCTCGCATCTTCCGTCACATTGACCAGGAACAACGTGTCACCATCCTCACCATGATCGTCGTCCACTTGGATAGCCTGGATGTGGTCCGTCTTGCCCAGCCCGTGCCAGGCGAGGCTCAGCCATCGCTCGGTATGCGCGAAGCCATTGATCTGTTCTCGCTGGCCGTCATGCCCTGCCTGTTGGGGTACGTGAACGAGGCGCCCTTCAACATTATTATTGGTCTTTTGGGATTGGTCATCAACCAAACCCATGTGCAGACCGTGGCTCGCACCAAGGTTGGGTTGGGCATTTTGACCATGTTGCTCAGTCGTGCCGAGATCGTTAAGGAGGCCGGTCAGGCTTCCGAGCACGATTGGCAGCAGTGGGTTGAGAAGTTCAATGTGCTGTTTGATACATTGGAACTCGGATTGAGTGACATTTTCCCTGGATCAATCAGCTCCGGTGACGATATGTATGTGTGGCAGTTCCTTGCCGCCGTGGGCATCGGTGCCAGTCCTGAGCAGCAACAGCGTCTGGTTATTGCCGTTAAGTGAGTGTTTTCTGTTTTGATCTAGGGATGTACAGAAATCGGGCTAATCAATTTCTTACAGGGACCGTGTTATGGAAACTGTGGGATACAGTAAGACCCTTCCTGCCGACATGGGTAGCCAGCGCCTGAACAACGTCAATCTTTTCATGCGGGCCATTGGTCTGGATGTTGAGCTCCTCGGATAAAACAATTGCCAGCTATTTTCCCGGGCAATTTCCATCCTAAGCCTTAGGTATATACCTTTGGCATGTTAGCCATCCAGGGAACACGGGGCCGGCAAAACTCAGGTTGTATTGTTGGACCTGAACCCGGTTTATTTTACGCCTTTTTTTTCCAATACCAATTTCACTTCCATGTTCTATGTTCAATGTGTAAATAAAAATATGCCGAGAGTTCCCCGGGAACGGGATCCCTTGCATATGTCCCTGTTCGGCAAAGGTGAAACGTTTGCAGGCAATTTAGGAGTTTCAGGGGATTTCGGAAAATTTGAAGGATTTCTCCCTTGCACATCTTTGCCTGTTTCGAGACCGAGAACGGCTTTTACCACCAAATGGGTCAAATTACATATCCCATGTACATACCGCAACATTCAACAATGGTCTAATGACCTCCATTAGGAGGGGAAAAAGGAAATTAGAGGTGGAAGCGTATCGACCAACGGGAAATTAATTCTCCGTATGGAGTAACAAAACAAGAATCAGCACGAATATCAAACCACACGCATCATCACACATCCACGACGGGCCAGGGTCCCCCCCCCCACCTCCAATTTTCCCCTTAAAACCTGCCCCTCGTCCGCTTCTTACTCCGGACTCTCCGTACTCTCCAACTTCCTAATCGTCACTCGGGATTTAATCATGTCTGCTGGTTCAGTTCTTGTTGCCGGGTAAGTGGTTGATTGCCCTATTTAGAATCTTATATCGGAACTACAACTAATTCCCCACTAGTGGCACGGGCTACATTGGCTCGTTCACTGCCCTCGCCCTCCTCGAGGCTGGTTACAAGGTTGTCGTTGTTGACAACCTGTACAACTCTTCACGTGAGGCTCTCAAGCGTGTTGAGCTAATCTGTGGCAAGAAGGCCGAGTTCTACGAGCTGGATGTCACCGATGAGAACAGCTTCGACATTGTGTTCGAGGCCCACCCCGACATTGACAGTGTTATCCACTTCGCTGCCCTGAAGGTGTGTATCTGATGAAACAAGGAAAAATATAAATCGCGTAGTCCGATCCTGATTATCTAATCCAATTAATTGTCCGAATCTAGGCTGTTGGCGAGTCCGGTGAAAAGCCTTTGGACTACTACCTGGTCAATGTCTACGGCACCATCAATCTCCTGCGCTCTATGGTCAAGAACAATGTTACCAACATTGTCTTCTCCAGCTCCGCCACCGTCTATGGTGATGCTACTCGATTCCCCAACATGATCCCCATCCCTGAGGACTGCCCTCTAGGCCCCACCAACCCTTACGGCAACACCAAGTTCGCTGTTGAGAACGCCATCACTGACGTGATCAACGCCCAGCGCAACAACGCGATCAAGGCCGGTAACGAGGCCGAGGCCAAGAAGTGGAACGGTGCTCTGCTGCGCTACTTCAACCCCGCCGGTGCTCACCCTAGTGGTATTATGGGCGAGGACCCCCAGGGTGTCCCCTACAACCTTCTCCCTCTGCTCGCCCAGGTTGCCACCGGCAAGCGCGAGAAGTTGATGGTCTTCGGTGATGGTATGCAACCCTTTCCTGCTCCCTTTCGCATTACCAAAGCCCTCAATCTTACATCTCATCCTAGACTACGCCTCGCACGACGGCACCGCCATCCGCGATTACATCCACATCCTGGATCTTGCGGACGGCCACATCAAGGCCCTGAAATACCTCCGCGCCAACAACCCTGGTGTCCGCGCCTGGAATTTGGGCACTGGCAAGGGCAGCACCGTCTACGAGATGGTCCGTGCCTTCTCCAACGCCGTCGGAAAGGACCAGCCCTACGAAGTTGCCCCCCGTCGCGCTGGTGACGTCCTTAATCTCACTGCCAACCCCGCCCGCGCTCACGCCGAGCTCGGCTGGAAGGCCGAGCGTACCCTCGAGCAGGCTTGCGAGGATCTCTGGCTCTGGACTAAGAACAACCCCCAGGGCTACCGCGAGGAGCCCCCTGCTGAGCTACTCGCTCAACTGAAGAAGTAAATTGACTTCAGCTAGTAATGTGATCGGGTTTTGCGGCTTGTGATGATTTTGCCGTTGTTAATAATAGTAGCTCTAGTTCTAGTTGGCAGAACAAATGAAACGAATTTCCTTAATTTTTTTTAAAAAAAAAAATGGATGCTAGGTCTTTTAAATATGAGCTTATTCTCTTTTATCGCGGCAGAGAAGAGCTAGCAACTCGATCTATGTAATCGTATCATACTATTTACCTACACAACAGGTATGCACATACCTTCACTTATTTCTGAGCCTTCCGACTCCTCCTCGATCCTTCAGTCTTCTTCCCCTTCTTCTCAGCCACCTCCTTCTTCGCCTTCTCAACCTCAGCCTCCTTCTTCTCCAAAGCCCTCAGAACAGCACTCTCTTTCTCCGCCTCCTCAATCATCTTTTCACTAAACTCCCAAAGCTTCTTCCCCACTTCGTCATTCCCCACGTCCGCCCGCGCAAAGTCCATTTGCCGACACTCCTTAATCAACCATCCACCCCCACTCCGTCCATACTGCTGCTCCATAACCGCATACAGAATACTCTGCGCACCCTGCGCAGGCGACTTAAACAACAGCCACCAAATAGGCCACGTGAGCAAGTACAACGCAAGACCCCACAGTGACCCACCACTCAACCACCGCCGCATCCCCGGAGTCCGCGTGAATCCAGGATCAACAACGATCACCCGCGTAGAAGGCGGCAGACCATCCGGCCGCTCATAAGCATTCAAATGCCGCTGGAACGAGTGCGCAAAGATATTCAAAGCCAGCTTGCTGAGCGCGTAAACGCCTTTGGGCCGCGCGTACAGCGGCGGAGAAGTCTTCGTGCGCTTCTTTACCACCATTTGCTTGCCGCGCGCCACGGAGTCCAAATCACTGAATTTGCCGCTGATGTAGCTCGCGCACGTTGCGAAGACAATGCGCACGTCGCGGTGTGCGGGCTGTGCGCGGAGCGCCGGACTGAGGATGCTGAGGAGGTGGAAGTTTGCCAGGTAGTTGATTTGCCATTCTGGGTCAATGCCATCTGTTGTTAGATTGCGAGGCGAGGAGGGCTCGGATGTGCCGCCGGCGAGGATTACGCAGTCTAGTCGGCGGGGTGGGATGTTGTCGATCCATTTTGTAGCGAAGGTGCGGATTGAGTGAAGGGAGGAGAGATCAACCTGTTCGGCGTAGATTAGAGGGTTTTTGGTGCTAGCGCGCAGATCGTCGATGTATTCGGAGAGGTAGAGATCGGAGGGTGGTTGGCGGGTAAGGAGGATAACTTGAGCGCCGCGAATTGCGAGCTCCCGGGCTACTTCTGCGCCTATCCCGGAGGTTCCACCCTAATGGTTTTGATTTTTTGTTAGCTTGGGAAATTGGTTGTACGGCGAGAGAGAAGTGTCGTACCGTCACCATTACCACTTTGGATCGCATCATGCGCTCGGAGCGGTTGCGGGCTCCTTCGAAATAGTATTTCAGTGCCGCGAAGATTAGCACCCATGGAGCTATGCGGATGAATGTCCAGGCATACGGGATGGACGAAATGCCATCCCGGATAGCCTGGGCAATGATGGGGATGGGCATATTTAAATAGGGATGTAAAGATGGGAAGAGAAAGGACAGGTGTGTCCAAGGGGATTTCTCCAATGTACACGTCCACCTCCGCTTATCTTATCAAGAGCACTTGATCCCCGAGTCTTGACCTCTCTTGATTAACAAATCTCTGACTCAGCACTCTCCAAATGCTCATGTTCAATTTACAGGACAGGGACGCCTTTTATAGTTCTATCTCTTATGTTAGGCGCGTAGTAGGTCAACACTTCAAATCGCAATAATATAAGGGGGCTTGCTAAAAATACAGACTAAAGCTCGATCACATGATCTGAATTGATGTGATTAATCTATCCTCCGTACGCTATATTGTATTAAGTTGCTCAACAACATTGTGGTGCTAACCTTACATTTCCCACCATTGAGTACTGTTGGGGCCGACTATGAGGAACCGTGAATTTACACGTAGTCCTCACGATAGAGTGGTTTGTTTACTCGAATTCTCAGTCTATCTCCTATCAATCTAAGAATGTAATTTATTAAAGGGCCGGTTAGCATCTATGATAAGTCATGGTGGGCTGGGACACCGGTTGCCTTGGCTTAAAACCAGAGGGTAACCTAGACCCAACCGGCGTATTGCTCCAGCATTTCATTTTTCGCACCTTCGGATCCGTGCTGCACGCCTAGCAGTCGCACATTGCCGATTTGGCCTCCAAAGGCATCTTCGATTCTGCTTGTCCAGTTCGCAAGATGATCTTTCAGACGTGCAATGACAGCGGGGTCATCCTGGATCAGGAGCGCGATGGCATCATATCCTCCAGCCCCCGGGACGACGCCACCAATGACACCTTCGACCTCTGAAACACTGTCTAGCAGCTCGGTCTGTACACTCGGTTCAATGGGGACGCCCGTCCGGCGGGTCAATGTGCGAATATGCTGGCGTGTTCGCTGAATAAGGGTACGAATATCAGTAAAGTCGCCTCCAGGATTGGCATCGGGATGTTGAGCCTGGCGCTTGAGCTCTTGACGCAATCGCTCGTTGTTGTTTTGGAGGCTACCCCAGAGAATATCTGCTTCCTTGCGGTTATTATTTCGCCATTCGAGAACCTTCTTGACCATCGAGGGTGTCTGCGAACCACAGTCCACGTCGCACAGAACTAGCTGCATCCCACGGGGGAGCTGCATGCCAAAGTCAACACACTCGGTGTCCCATGGGTGCTCGGGATCAGAATCCTCCACGATGGGGAACAGGCGCTCCTCAAACCCAGCCGAGCCTACATCGCCGAGAGACTCCAGGATTGACGGCGAGAAACGTCGGTAGAGGCATGAACCGTATACAGCGCTAGCAACGTCGAATCCAGATCCGACCTTACCCTGCGCTGCGCAGTGGGCCGCTTGAGCGAGGTTGTGGAGTTTATCCCGACCAGCACCGAGGTCCTCCGGCTGCATGGTGCGGTGAATGACCAAGGCAGAGACAAGCGCAGTAACCAAAGCAGCCGAAGAGCCCAATCCTGTCTTGTGGGCTTCGAAAAGAGGAACACCGAAATTGACAAAGCGCCCACCACGCCCCTGCGACGCTGGGCCTTTGGAGGTAGCGGTTTCCGAGTAGTAGTCGCTATCAGCCATGATGGTGACCGACAGGGACCCGAAGTCCTTAGAGTCAGCAACGTAACTGATGTAAGTCAATGCATAGCTGAGAGAGGTCTCGACAAAGGGGTTGCGGGGTCTAAAGAGAAGCAAAGTAAAGTCAATCAACCATTTTTTTTTCGCGTAAAGAGAGAGCAATAGCCAAGCATACCCATCTCCCTTCTGGATAACCTTGACACCCCCACCATTCCCACATCGCTGCACACCATATTCCCACACCGCATCAACAAATTGCGGGGAACGCACAACAATGGTGTCCTGCTCGTCCTGGTCCTCGGCACCCAAGTTAGCCAGTGCCTCGGCGCCAACAATGGGCCCAGATCCTGATGTCCCGCGGCGGTGACCCCTCCTCAGTTGTTGAACAATCACATGGATGCGGGCGTCGAGCGCAAATACGGTGCCCGTGTAGCCGCGGTCTAGAACAAGATAGCCACCGGTTAAAAGCACTTTTCCCGGCGCAGACAGTGCCGTGACGGAAGACGGTAAAGGAGACATGGAGGACTGATAGATTGGAGATACGGCTGTTGTGGAGGAAAAAAAAGCCGAGATCTACGGGGCGTTTGGGGGGTTATGGAGGGACTGCTCCGCGGTCACGGGGTGGTTGGGAGAGAAAGATCAGATTGGAATGGTGCAGATAATTTATGCTGGGCTTACGCTGCCATGCAGATGCAGCTCAAAGGAAAATTGAACATATCTCTGATTCTAGAGGGGTGCAGGGGTGTATGGAATTCTCCTAATAGGGACTAGTGAGGATGTTGCTGGAGAGCCAGGTGTTTCCGGAAAGTGGAAAGTGGTCTTGTGTAACTAAAATGATGCTGATCTTTCATTCAATGGGTTCTGTAGTGTAATGGTCATCACTCTGGTTTCTGATACCAGCAATCCCGGTTCGATCCCGGGCAGGACCTTTCTTTTTTCCCTTTCGCTTTTTTTTCGGATTCATAGGTTAAATGTGCTCTCATTTCACCCTTTTTTTTTGGTTTGCCTGTTCTTTTTACTCATTAAGCTTCTAAAAATTGATTTTACTTGGAACAAGATATCTTTGAACATACTATGTGTTGTGAATGTAGATTCAATTCCCTGCATGAAACGCATTGCTTAAGAAACCACTGTAAACATAGACCAAGAAAATTAAAAAAGAACAACTGAAACTCCCTAATGTGTCAAATCCGACAACCTTTTAATCCGTTGATTGTAAATGTACAGGGTATGTGTGTCGAGATGTCCAATCCGATTTGTGAGAGGCGATATTGGCGTCGAGGTGGAAAGGGGGTGTGCTCTGGAGGTTCTCGATTCCATCCCACTTCCTCACACCTCGAGTGCTGCCGAGAACCCGTGATCCAAGTCTAAGCCTTGGGCTTCTGGGCGATAATACGATAGCTCGTCGTAGCCAGACGCATGCGGTCCATCTTAACAAAAGCCTGACCATCTAAACAAAGACGGTTTATCAAAGTCTTGAAGTGTTTTGGCAGCACATGCACCTTGACGAGTGCAAGGATCGCCTGGCGGAGGGTGCGGAAATACCCATCGACGGTATCGATGAGTGGGGCCTGGAGACCATCGATACTAGCATTCTCCGACCGCACCACCTCAAACCCGGCCCCCCTCAACGCCGCCTCGAGATGTTCCTGCGTGGGTGTACCGACAGCACCGATGAGCGGCTTGACGCGGCGCATGAGTTCCGCATGTTCCGGATTACTAGCGTCGTAAGCCGGCAAGCTGATCCAGTCCAACAGGGAGATCTTTGAACCGGGTTTGACGACACGGAAGACCTCGCGGAACAGGGCGGGTAGATCCTGGCACAGACTCAGTGCTTGAATCTGGTAGAACGCGTCGAAGCTCTCGTCGTCGAAGGGGAGAGGAAGGTCATTGAAATCTTGCGTGACGAAGTTATTCTGGAGTCCGCGTTCCGTGTTGAAGGTCGTCGCCTGCTCGACCTGGTTCGGGTCGATATTAAGGCCCGTTACCTGGGCGCCGGTGTGTTGCGCCATGTGAGCGGCGACCCGCCCGCGGCCGCATCCAAGATCCAGCACCGTCATTCCGGGCTCCAGGCCGATGTCTTGTGCAATTGACCGCTCGTATAGTATCTGGTTCTCCAGCACGCTGGATTTGGGGTTCATCCATGGTGGGATGTACATTTTTTCGACATCGCCCAGTGCGCACAGGTGGTTCAGGACTCCGTAATAGGACTTCAAGCAATCGCCGACTTTCTGTTGGTAGTTGGGGCCCAGCGATTCGGTCATTTGTTTTTCGTCGGACCAGTCCAGGTTATAGATGACATATGACGCCATGAAATCGTCAACCTGTTTCGGGGTCAAGTGCGCCAAGTGTCGGAAAGCCGTCCAGAAACTCTTCCACCGCTTCGGGGATGCCGAATTGTCGAGGTCCTTTCCATGATGGCGGAGTGTTGCCGCCAGCGCATTCTGCTTCTCCTGCGCGATCTCATCTAATGAACCATCACTCTCCGAACCTCGTCCACTGCGCCCGGGGTGGTGTGGTGTCTCCAAGATTGTTTGTGTCATACTAGAAGAGCTTTGTACAAGCTATTGACCGTATAAAATTTAGATGTATTAGGTATAGTTGCCTAGGCGGAGGAAAGGGGAATGCGTATTAACCAGCGGCCTCAGCCCTGTCGGGGATATGGCACGATTTATAAGCACTACAGTGAATTCCTTTGTCCAGGATCAACACGAAAAATCATTCGCCAAGACAGATGTCTGGTCCGTAGCCACTTTGTGGATTTCGTCACCAGACGTGGAAGCTCTTACCGGTTATCCCGGCAATAATGGGTTGATCCGTTTCAGACGGCAGAGACTCGAAGAATGATATATTTCATTTGGACAACCAAGAATCATATTTCCCAATCCATCCTCGTCTAGGGTCATCCGTTCTATCTCCGAATTTGAGATCTAGCTGTGGCGGAGAAGATAGGAGGCGGTTATACGGAGTACGGAGTATGCAACGACGAGGATGTCCAGGCGCGGATGACGCGGGCCCTGGAAGGGAATGAGCATCGTCATTGGAATGGCGACCTAGGCCCACTTTTGTAGCGTGAATACTGTATTCTACGTAGGTAAGGTATCTGGATATAAAATCGGGTTATCAAGATAATCGCACGGAATACATGTTGACCCCTGTGTCAACAAAATATAAAAGCCGTGGTCCCGGAACTTTCCCCCGTAACATTATACAACGTCTGAAGTGTTCCAGAACCTCTCAGGATATTCAATCTTGGAGAGGCTAATTTTTTTCAGGATCAAAAAGTCAAAAGCAAAAAGGAATTAAGCCTTGCGAACTATGAATGTGATGGAACAAGATATGAGGGACTTGATATTGGAGACCCACATAGATCGTCGGGGCAGAAATCCAAGCTCCGAGTTCAAAAGACCCTGATTCCCGTATTCCCGTATTGCCCGGGCCACGGTACCCAGATAGAGTATCATGTTCCTATGAAGAACACTTGGCATTGCTTCTATCTCCGGCGCAGCCGAAATTTATTAAGAGGTTGGGCAATTTTTATGTAGAGCCGTGGTAGCATAAGGGAAGCGCATTAGAACGTGTGAGTCACAATGAACATCTCTTCTAATTTTTCTCAAATTTTTCTCAAATCATAGTTCAAGCCGTGCATGGCTAGTGGATCACAAAATACTCTATACCAACAGATGCAAGTACCAAGTGGGGGGAAAAACCGAATCAAATCAAACTCTTTTCGAAAGGTGAGCAGTTGAAAGCTTTACATCTCGATCCAGCGTAGAGATCCAGCAAGCATATCAGCTTTCTGAATTAAAAAATCACATTGTGGCTGCCCGTGAATTTCCTTTGGGCCCGGAACTGCCTTTTTCGGCCAAAAGAGTAATTCGCCCACTCTTGCTGTGCCGCTAGGATGAAAGAGGAAGTGGCTTGCATAGTACATAGTATGATTGATGCAGAAGAAAAACCAAACAGTGGTCTCTGACGAGAGGAGTCTTTATCACCCTACCACTTCCTGGGATGATGATTGTGACTTACTGTCGATTACCTAGGCAGAGAGTCCCTCTACGTAGTTGGTAGACTATCGCAGACTCATAATCAGAATGCCGTTGCCGTTTTTCAACTTTGTCGCCGGCCAACTTGCGAGGTAAGATATCAGTCAAAGCAGTTCTGGGTGAAGCTCCATATGTGATGGACTTTTGTTTCGACGTGAAGCGCTGTAAATGTTGCGTGACTGCCTATTAATAGTGTGGTAATGTATGAAGTCATTCCATCAACACACCTTTCAATATCATCAATTGCTGGATGTGTCCTTTCTTCATTCCTCCTCAAGAATCATACGATTTTTTAGATCTATTTATCATGGTGGATATTATCACTCGTTCAATACCAGCAACAAAATTGGAGATCCGGGGCTTGTTGAGAAAAAGAAAGGCTACGGCAGGGGATCTTTTTAGGATATGACCGTACTTAAGCTGCTGGCACACTTTAGGTTTCTATGTAGTATGCTTGATGAGGCTGAGAGATTGGGAAGAATCGTTGAATTGCTCGTTTAGACCCGAAATTCAAAAATCATCACAGAGAGACCACAGCCCCTGAGAATCCTAAATCTCCCATTCGAATGGGGCCGTCGCAGAAATATCATGAAATGAAGGGTCCTACCAGATAAGACAGCGCTGTACGGAGTGAAAGTAGTATAAAACAGTCATCTGCTTCCTGATTGGCTAAGCCTTCTTCCTAACTAGGTAAGGCTATATATCTAAGGGTCTTCCCCAGAGGTCGCTAGTTTAACCCACATCTTTAGAGAGCCCCTCTCTAAATTTGCCCCGCAAAGCACCAGAAAGCCGTTTGCTAGCAGAAATGGCCTCCCCAAAGTCCAGGGAATGAGGACCTGTCCTGCCAGCTAGAATCTGGAAAGGACAACTTTGAAGATTCGACCGAAAACGCGGCTCCTTTTCATGAAATGCAGATGATGCTGGCGCCCTGTGGAACGCTGAGTTGACCTGATCGCTGGTGTTGCCGCAGCAGGTTTTCCCCCAGCATTGTCAACTAGAAGCGCGATGCTCCTTAATATCCGGACAGCACGCAGAGTCAGCGAGGCCTTTGACGTGGTCTGCGACCGATTTCACAAGCTGGATAATTTTGCTCTGCGCGTGGACCCATTAAAGAGTGTCATCCTCAGTGCGGGGACGAAAACAATCACCGAGAAAGGGTTGGGCTAGTTTCCCGACAGTTTGCGCGGCGTCACAAAATTACTTGCGCCGTGGTCCACTCAAGGCGAAACTTTCAAAGTGGGCGAAGAATGTATTTGTAGAAGACACGCTCTTTGTCATGGGAGCTGGAGGAGCTGACAAGCCAGGAACATACGATGTGTTCTGCCCATGGGCTCAATGTCGTCCATTAAGCTCTGAGGAAAATCGAGGAATTGCTTAATAGAGAGGATAAAGAGGATGACAGAAAGAACCACGAGAGACTGGACAGGTCAAAGCAGCATTTTATCCCACATTCTCCATTAAAAGTCAAGTTTCAAACGTCGTTTCCTGAACGACGCTCGTCCATGAGATGGTAAATTCCTCATCATACATTCCAAGAGCTGCATTTCTATTTCCAGACAAGACAACACTGCAGTATCCTAAACCAAATGCCCCACCTATCAAAGAGACTTCCATAGTCTGGCCGCATGTGTCGCCGATCCAATACCGCGTCAGCAATTGCGTGACATCGGTGTTCTTTTGCATAAAATCGTACAACCTAGAAGCGCACATATTAAGGATCTCTCCGCCAAGATCAGCCTCCTGTACGCGAACATGACGAGGACCCATGAGAGACAGGACCAGCAACTACTGGAACAAGATTAGTACATCACTTACAATCCACCATGGGAGGTTGTCTTACCGGGGCAACAATATGCGAGCCCAGCGACTTGGACCTCAGACGAGTAGTCATGATATCGGTGATGGTCATGATTTCTCCACGAAGCAGTCGATCATCCCCGTTCGCATCACTTTCCAACATGACCTTGAAATGTGGGTAGTTTCCCGCTAGATAATCGGCTACTGACACAGCATACCAATGGAAAACTATACTCTCTAGCAGTTGGCCAAATCTGTAATCTCGAATTCTATCATCAACAGTCAGCAGGCAGGACAAGGCAAGATAGCTGTATGAGGTAACACACTCTCGATATGCGCCAGAGGATAGAGGGTTATGGGAGTACTCCTCCGATGCATATCCCCAGCTCTCATTCACATGTGATTGTATAGTTCTAACCTTATTTCAGGACCCATGGTCTTTGCTCCAATGTCAGCTCATGAAAGTGGCGGGTAAGAAATATCTCCATAGCTCGAGTATCCCGCAGGATGTGATCCGGGTCAGGTTCAAATTTCAGTAGCTTGTCCTCTTTCTCCTTCGGTGGGAGAGGTAGGTCTTCTTGGTATGGTTTGAAGAAGCGTGGATGATGCTGGGTATCCCCTTTAAGGGACAAGGGAAGGTGGCGGATACTGGCCGCTTTCAGGTCGGAGGATTCAACATGCTGACTCGGGGTTTGCTTAATTATTCTCAATCCTAGCTAACGTTTGGCGGTGAGCACACCGCTTCAGTGTGAGAGCCTCGTCCATCTTAAATTTGACGACAACATGTGAGGATCTAAACCTGGTTAGATTATCAGTAAAAAGAGGAGAGCGATTCAAGGACCAGCAAGGTTGATAACTAGATGGAAGATGAGACGGGGAAGTCGGTTTGCTTGTCTGCATGAAGGGCGAGATTTGCGGCCTGAGGACTAAGAAACCAACGGTCATGCTAGTTGTTTGGCAACGTCGAGCGATTTCCTAGTTCGGCACAACGTCTCCGGTTCGACCATCCATGATGCCATCCTTACCTTTGCAACTACCATCAGGGAGGGCCAGTACTTGTTGCTCCAGGTTCTCTGGACCTCACAAATCAACCAAGAGCATAGACTTAAACAGCACGAACTGGAGACAAGGAAAAAGGAAGCGGACAAGTTGCTTGCATTGTTCAAATCCTGGGCCGACTATCGAAAAGGTTTCCCCAGTGGCCTTATCCGTAGAAACCCCATCGAAGCCAACGGGAAAACTGCCAGACTCATTAGAGGGTGACGACACTCTAGATGCTGGAAACTCACCCTTTCATTCCTCGGAGCCCGAGGAGATTGTATACTTGATGTATCTACACAAAAAAGATGGGCAGATTGTCAACACTGGCTAGTGGACTTCTTCAGTGCGCTAATCATGCTATCTCCCCAGGCAAGCGGCTAGACATTAAACCTCAAATCGTTCAAGGCAGCGTTCCAAGGTACTACCTGGGAAGCACCAACTGATGGGTATCTGGGGGACGGAGGATAGAGAGGGTACGGATATTGATTGGAGTGAAGCCAATGTTGAGGAAGAAGAAGAAAATTTCACTCGTGTATAACAGGCTGCATAGATGGTTGCGTGGATAAAATCAAATCCTGATCCCCAGGCCGGTGAGGTTACCTTCTACCCTAAGGCCCCCAAACCACTCGACCGGCTATCATACTTGTAGGTCTTGGTCG